AGAGCCAACAACAGAGCCAAGGTTTCCTTTTCAATGGTGGAATAGTTTAGCTGATGTTTGTTAAACTTGCGAGAGAAATAGGAAACAGGATGATTTAAACCCTGCAAATCTTCCTGTAAGAGCACTGCAGCAGCCCCAACGGTGCTGGCATCCACTTCCAGCTTGATAGGTCGGGTCAAATCAGGTGCAGCTAGTACTGGTGTGTGGCAAAGAATACTCTTAGCACTTTCAAAAGCATTCTGGCATTCATGTGACCAAACAAAGTCAGTCTTTGGGCTAAGTAGATTGGTTAATGGTTGAACTACTGAGGAGAAATTTCTGCAAAAGTTACAGTAGTAGCCAACCATGCCCAGTAATCAATGTAGCTCGTGACATGTTTTGGGTGTGGGATAATCATTAATCGCCACAAATTTGGCATTGAGGGGACGAACTTGGCCTTGTCCCACCTCTCTGCCCAAGTATGTCACAGTGGCCTTGCCAAATTAACATTTTTCAAGGTTAAGGGTCAAGGAAGCTTGGGCAAACCAGTGAAATACCTTATAAGTGTTTGCAAATGTTCCTGCCAGGTTTCAGTATAAACCACAAGATTGTCCAAGTAAGCACTGCAGTTGGAGATTCAATGCAGTACTGTATTTATCAGCCTCTGAAAAGTAGCTGGAGCATTACACATACCAAACGCCATAACATTATACTGCAAAAAGTTATCTGGGGTCACAAAAGCGGAAATGTTGGAAGCCTTTTGAGTTAAGGGGACTTGCCAATAGCCCTTGAGAAGGTCCAACTTAGTGACATATTTTGCAGTTCCAATATTGTCCACACAGTCTTCAATCATGGGGATAGGATAAGCATCAGGTAGGGTGAGAGAATTCACCTTACGAAAGTCTGTGATAAAGCGTGGTGAACCATCGGACTTGGTTTCCAACAAACAAGGCCAGCTCCAGGGACTTTGACTAGGTTTGGCTAAACCATGTCCCAACAGGGACATGGTTTAGCCATGGTTACAGCTAAACCATCGTTACAGGGTCTAGTTTAACACTTACCACATTCTTGAAACATCTTGTTAATGTTTCATCAGCTTGTTGAGCAGATGACAAGTGTTGTCTGGTGAGAGGGATGGATGCTTTCTCCCACAGTGGACCAGGCTCCTCCAGCACCACCACATCTGGGAGTAACGGAATGCTGTTACTTTTGGTTGTTGTCTCCTCCTCACTAGAAAATGGAGACATCAAAATAGAATCAGAAATAACAATATCAGGGTCCTTGTGTACCTGTGCATGGGTAGCCACACAGGCTGGGTACAGCCCAGAATCTGAAGTTTCTTGGGTTGTCTGATTTTAAGGATTATCTAATACCTCTAAACTGGGAAGCACCAGACCTCCAGCAATGTCATTCCCCATTAGTATAGCCACACCATCTATGGGTAAGTCTGGGTGGACAGCAACAGGAAAAAATCCTGTGACAAGTTTTCATTTTATGTAAACCCCATGGACTGGTCTTGGAGCGTACAGTAGCCCATCTCTATCCCCCTCAGAACAGAGTTGTATCCACAGGCACTCTCATGTGAGAAAGGTAAAACATTTGAGACAGGGATCAGGTAATTTGTCACCACAACCAGTGCTCTTATTGCGGGGTTCCTTTTTAACAAAACCAACACCTTTAGTCTGTTGCAAATTTGTCTGCCCTTTGCGTTTTAAAGCTAAACAATCAGTGATGACATGTCCAGGTTTGTGACAATAGAAACAATCCCTGCTTTCTTTGCTTTTTTGGAACTGTGGTTTTAACCATCTGGGTATGTGGCACAGCATTAACATGTGACTTTTCATTAAGAATGAAAGCCGACTTATGAGTAAGCACATACTCATCTGCAAGAACAGCTGCAGAGGCTAGAGTGTTCACTTTCTGTTCATTTAAATACAACACCACACAATCTGGAATACACTTCTTAAAGTCTTCCAACAATATTACCTCATGTAAAGCATCATGATTGTTGACTTTGGAAGCAGCACACCACTTGGAAACTTTTGTCTATATGCTTCTGGAACCAACTTATAAGCTTGTAAGACAGCAGCTTTAACCAGATCGTAATCTACACTATCCTTTAAAGGAAGCGCTGCCAACACCTCATGAGCAAAAGAGGCCAGGTTTCCCTAGGCCATTGTAAAGCACCAGCAATGCGCTCAAATGCTGCAAAGTATGAGTCAACCTCAGATTCTATGAAAGCAGGTACTAACGAAATACACTTACTAATATCGAATAGCATCGCAGACATGGAGGTGGAACCTGGTGTGACAGAGTTAGGGGGCGCTTGACTCTGAGCCTCCAGCTCAAGTTTGCACAGCGTTATAGCCTTATCAGCCTCTATTTCCAGCCTTCTGATCTCTATCTCCAGTTGAGCTCTCCTGTCCTGGGCTTTTTCCTCATCTCGTCCTTCTGAGCTCACAGAGGACAGTGGATCATAGCGAGGGAGTGTATGAGGTGTCTTTCCCCGGTCACTCGCTGCTGCCTCAACACTAGGAACATCTTTGAGATCCTTCTCAGACAAAGCCTTTTGGCTTGGCACTGCAGCAGCCTCAGGGAGATCAGGCTTTTTGATCACACCAATCCCCACCAACCTATCCACTATAAGAGTCTTTAGGTCACCTATAAGGACCTGTTTTGGGACCTGCAACTTAAAATGCTACACAATTTGCAGCAATTCACTTACAACAGCTCTCTATAAGCTCAAGAGAGGGGTCGGCTAAAAAGCGCTCCAGACTGAATGGAACTGACATGGTTCCTGGATACAGCCAACCTCAAAGTGTCCCCCTTAAGTCTGGACACAGGGACCCTAAGAGTGTCCTGAACAAGCCCCCAATTATGTTACACCCCCAAGGTCTAGGGGTCTCAGGGAGGTAACATAAATAATGTGTCCAGAGCAGTTTGGGGGAAGGTAAAAATTATTTATCACAAAAGATGGTAAAAAGACCCAAAACACAATACAGCTTAACCCAATTGAAACAAAACAAAAAAAGATAAGGGCAAACAATTTGAAGAATGGTTAAGAACAAATAAAATTACAAACTGCCCAAACCAGTCAGATTAAGTTTTAAAAAGCTTTTCAGGAACCTTTTATAAGGTGCAGGTGGGCCTCATCAGCACCCTGATTGGCTTGACACTCCTCTGCTGGTCCAATCATGTCACTGCTCTTCTGCAGTACTCAGGCAGCCAACAAGGAAGATCTGTCAGAGCTGAACCTGCATAAGAAAAGCCTGCACAGTCTTAAAAGGCCAGGGGCTGTAACAGTGAGACAAAGCTCACATGACGCTGTTGTCTGGCTGATATCTTGGTTGATTCTCGGCCACTACATTACTTCTCTTGTTCAGCGTTTACACTTGACTTCTTCCAGGTACCCAAGTGTATCTTTTGGAGCATCTGAATGAAGTAGTGAAGAAGGAAAACAAATTTACTCCCCTTCAACACTATTTCATTTACCACATTGAGCACTGCTCTGCAGTTCCAGTAGTCTTGTATCTTTGTGGGACAATTGTTTTTTTGTTTTGTTTTTTTATGGCCATCATTTATGTATTATGCTCTTGAGTTTTTTCATAGTTTCAACTGCATTTGTCTCTTTCTGTATTTGTTTTTGTTCCTGTTTTGTTTTTGCACAACCATCAGTGAGCTGACCATTTTAATTCACTCTTGATGAATTAAAATGCTCTTGATGAGCCCCTAGCTTCTCCATGAGCACCAGTTCACCTTTCAGTTTGTTCCAGATATTAAATGGTATTTTCCTGCAAGGATGCACAAAAGGAGGTATGGGTTCATCCAAAGATATTTTGTGTTCTCCAGGTTCAAATTTTGAAAACCTTTCCTTAAAAGAAGAAAGCTAAAATCACACAAAAAAATATATATTAACAACTACTAAACTGAATTCATTAACTTTGTTTTGTTCCCTGCTTAAAGTCCACATTAGCTCTGCTTGCATTGTAGGTGTACCACCAAATATTATTCAGAGATTTGGTGCAACTGGCACTGTTGTAGATGTTGGAGATGGCTATGGAGGCATTGCAGAGACAAGGTTGGAACAGAATTGAGAAATATCTGCTGCTTCTCGACAACTTGAGTTTGAAAATTTGTGTTTAACACTTTTGAATGTTAAACTCCAATGCCTTGATTCCCATCATGCCGAGCTTGAATGACTTCTTGCACAAAATACACTGTACCTCATATACATTCCCTGGTACTGGTTTTAGACATGCAAAACACTCTTGACTGGAAAGCCAATTTTCATTGAATTTAAATTTCCCAAAGTGTTCCAGATAAAACACTAAGGCAGGGATCTGCAAATTGAAATATTAATGAAATATTGAAGTATTTTGGATGTCCTGGTTAAAATGAAAAAACAAAACAAAGAATATAGACTGATTTTTGTTCCATATTTTGTGTGTCTTTTAAGAACATGGCACTATCTTGCTTCATTTCGTTGACTTAATTAAATCAGCCTAAAAAAAAGTCAGTTCTTCTCTGAATGCCACTGGAGTTTTGTTGCATTTGCAACTGAATGAAACCACAAGCAAATATATGACTGAAAGAAGGTCAAAAATGTGTGCTTCACCTCACATGTCTGAGGGACTGTAGGAAGGATGTAAGTTCCCTGCATTCTTTTCTAAATCAGAATAACAACCTAATAAATTTCTTAAATGTGTATCAATGGTGAACCTAATTTAAACAATTTATAATTGCAATCAGGAGCTATGGAAAAGTCCCAGAGGGCCACAAATGGCCTTTAGACCCCACTTTTTACAAAAAAGTTATCACAGAGTTGTTGCAACTTTCACAGCCATGACAGGCATAAATGGTAATGTGGGGCGTTGGTCTTTGGTAATTTTAGTACAGGTTACAAACCAGATCTGATCATGTAATTTTATGCTGTGGAATTAGTTTCTGAGTCATTTCCTTATTTTGTGGATGATGAAAAGGTTGGTAGCTCTATAAGAAGACTGGGATGGCACATTGAGCCCTAGGTGGTCCTGGCAGACGAAGAAAACAAACCATTCTGAATCAGGTTTGCTGATCGACTCTCTGCTCTTCTATTTCACTCACTGGTGAGTTTAAATGTTCATAACATGTCTAACTTATTTTTCATTAATTTCAGCTTGTATATCTGCATCATCTCATCACTTCCATCATGAAGTTGCTGGTTTTGTGTGTCCTGGTTTTCTCTGAGATGGCATGGGCCGGAGCTGATCGTAAGCATTTCTCAAGTATACAGAGTTTGTAAAGTTACTAAGACTCAAACAAACTCACTAATTCCTCTTGTTTAAAATGCCCACAGCTGTTCCAGATGATAGCTCTGCTGATAAAGGTCAGTGAGTGTTGTTTTGTAACAGGATCATAAAAAATAAAGTTTGTTCTAATGCTGAAATACATTGCTTTTAACTAAGGCTCTCCATTTGTTTGTCTTTAGAATCAATGGACTTGGTCCAGAGATCTGCTTCTTGTCCTTCTGGCTGGTCTGAGTACAACGGTAACTGCTACCACTATGTTTCCTTGCCCATGGATTGGGCTTCAGCTGAGGTGATTTTCAATAACATTTATCTCTTATGCTATTTAATTCTCTTATCTTATGGTTGTTAATTAACACAATGCAGTTACTACTTCTGTACATCTTTCTGTTTTTTGTCTGCAGAGGCACTGCATGTCCATGGGGGGACACCTGGCATCAGTTCATAACCTAAGGGAGTACCATCATATTCAGCATGTGATAAGAATGGCAACTTATAGGTCCGGACTTACATGGATTGGAGGCAGTAATGCACAGAAGGTATTTTTTTTACTAGTTAGTTTATTTGTTAAGTATTTCGATAAATGATTGAAAGACGTTTATAATCTGCTGGGTTCTTTCTCTCAGCTAAGCATTTGGCTTTGGAGCGATGGAAGCCAATTCCACTACACAAACTGGTGTCCAACAGAGCCTAACAATTGGCGAGGCGACCAGCACTGTTTGCTGATGAACCATTATGGTAAAAGAAAATATCACACATAAGTGTATGTTTTTCAGGCAGTTAAAGGAGTAATGGGTAATTAGCAGGTTAACTATGTTAGTAAAACTTAAGCTAGAACACTATTACATTTACTGGATTAAATACAGGGGCATGTATTGTTTTTTATTTCGTGTTTTTGTATGGGAAAACAGTTGTACAATATCAAGCTTCCCTACAATCATGGTTCTTTATAAACAGCATTTGGTTTCTGTAATATTAACAGATTTTATTTTTTTGTCTTTTTAGCTCCAAAGTGCTGGGATGACCTAAGATGTATGGATCATGCCCCATCTGTCTGTGCCAAGAAAGCCTGAGCAGTCCGAGAAGAAGCCTTTTTCTGGTATAAATTAGCTTGAACCAGAACCGGTGGAGGATGCTATATTGTCTTTCAGTTATTCTGCCACATAGAAATCCTATTTTCTAAAAGCTTCTTCTATTTACTTCATATAATCACATATAAAACAAAAGGTAAATTCAAACAGAGTCAGTGTTTTATAAATGATTATTTGAGTAAAACCTTCTTCTTTTCTTTAGCCTTGCATTAAATAAACTTTTGAAGCATGAAAACAATATAATGTATATGGTCTATTCTCTGTCTTCATCTAGTCATATTAAGTGAATTTGTACGTTTTGTTAAAATTTTAGATTTTTCCCCTTTACCTATTAATCCAAACTTAAGTCTGACCAGTCTTCTTTTATTTTACTTCCACAAGACTAATTTCTTGGGAATATGTTATTATTACTTTTTGGCAACACTTAAAGTAATATTTTTCCCACATATTGGTGCCGGTATATCATAGATGATGTTGGGGCATAGAATCTTAGTAGGAGCTACTCCTTACAGTACAAGTAGAAATGGGCTGCTGCTAATGGTTATTTTTAAAGTAGATTAATGTACTAAGTATTATGTCAACTTTTCATGATCATATTTGCAAGATCTTGATCCTTGAC